ATGACATTTAATTTTACTATAGTTAATTAATAACAACTTGTAGCTAAGAAGTGCACCATAGAAATAAAAGAAATTATGCCTATATGTTTTAAGAAAAAAAAAATTACCAATTTTGTATAAAGCTTCACTCGGGTTAATTTTATAGAATGGGACTTTATGCTGGAATCATTAAAAAAAATTGGATTAAACAAGTCTTTTCAAAAGTGGGTCAAAACACTATATCACGACATAAAAGGATGTATTTTAAATAACGGGTGGATCTCTGAAACCTTCGGGATTCAACGGGGAATTAGACAAGGATGCCCTTTAAGCGCTTTATTATTTGTTTTATCAGTCGAAATACTGGCTTGTAGAATAAGAGATAATAATGATCTGAAAGGGATACAAATAAAAATTGATAAAAAAAAAACCTCATAGCCTAAAAATCTCACAACTAGCAGATGATACAACTCTCTTTTTAAGATCTAAAGATGAAATAAAACATGCACTAAATTTGATAGAAACTTTTAGATCTTTTTCGGGACTTAAACTCAATAGAAACAAAACAAAAGGTATATGGCTAGGTAAACTAAAACACTGCAAAGACAAATTTGAAAGTATCAATTGGAAAGATAAAGTGAAAAGTCTTGGTATTTATTTCGGCCTTAACAAAAAAGAATGTGAAACACTAAATATAAATAAACCGTTTGAAAAATCAGAAAGGATACTAAATGATTGGAAGAAAAGAAAATTGAGTATGATTGGAAAAATAACTATAATTAAAACACTAGTTATTCCCAATATAACATATGTTGCTTCATTGATAAATCTGAGCACTGAGATTATAAGTCAATTTAAAAAAATCTTATTTAATTTTTTATGGGAGGGTAGTAGCGAGAAAGTAAAACGCTCAGTGTTAAGAAAAAATATACTGAAGGGGGATTACAAATGACGGATATTGATGCATACATTGAGGCTATCAAAATAAATTGGGTTAAAAGATTAACTGATGAAACTTGTGCTAACTGGAAAATCATACCTACCTATTATTTCAGGGAGTTTGGGGAAAATAATCTAATATTTAAAATGAATCTTAATTCTCATAAGTCACTAGAAAACCTAAAAAACTTACCTACATTTTACTTTGAAATCTTGAAATGTTGGATTAAAAACGGAGGGGGGAAAACAAAAGTACCTGATAATTATAGAGATATAAGAAAGCAAGTTATATGGGGAAACCAATATATAAAAACACATGGCAAAAGTTTATATTTTAGTCATTGGGTAGAGGAAAACATAATTTTTGTTAATGATGTAATTGATGATCAAGGAGAAATTTCTCATAATGTATTACATAAACTTAAAAAGAAACAAAATTAGATCGCTGAATTGTGTACTCTTCGAAAAGCCTTACCCAAAAGTTGGATCCAAAAATTAAAGAGTAATATATCAAAACATACTAAAATCAACATAACACAAAACATTAAAATGTTTTGTAATGGATTGTATTACAATCTAGACAAAATTAAGTTTAAAGAAATTTATAATATTATAATCAGGTCAAATAAAGAGCTTCCAGTAGGTTTGTGCTCATGGAAGAACCAACTATCATGCGAAAATGTTATTTATTTCATTAAGAAAAATCTATCTTTTACCTTTCTTTTTTTAAAAGATAATAGATTAAAAATGTTCAGATGGAAACTACTGCATAATAGTTTAGCTATCAACCATAATCTGTACCGCTGGAAAGTAGTTAACAGCGAAAACTGTGAGATATGTTTCAAATCTGATAGCTATAATCATTTCTTCTTTGAATGCACATGGGTAAAAAATTATTGGACATTACTACACAAAATATTTATGTATCTTAATATTGGTCAACATGTTTTTTGTCTTAAAAATCTTGTAATAGGATACAAAATTGAAGATGTTGAATATTATGTACTTAATCATATTATAACAATTGTTTGCTTTGTGATTTATAAATGCTTTTATTTATCAGAAAAGAGAACTAAATATGTGAATATGATGTCAGTCCTAAAAAATGAAATTGAAACACAAACTTTATATCATCCGAAAAATTCCTTTTTGAGAAAATTTCTAACGAAAATCTTAGAAATGTGATTCTTTATCTGTTTTGTTTGCATTTGGATGACCTAGAATCACAAACATATCATTGAAATAAAAAGAAGAAAAAAATTTCTAAACAAAAACTGTTCCTTAATTTTTGTTTAAATACCAGATATGGTATATTATTCAATGTTTGGTGAATTTGAATGATAAGATACTATCTAAAAAACAATCGTAATTCAATTATACTGACCTCTTGATCCGATAAATCAGAAACCATGCTCCTTAACTTTCACTTTTAAAATCCGAGACTAAAAGCTAAACAAAAGACGGTCAAAGTTACGTTTTCTTTTTCATTGTATACATGCTTGTAGAATTAATCTGTAAATTGTAACTAACACGTAATGCTATGTAGATTTATAAAAAGTTTGCCAATGAAATCCCCTGGTTTTATTGGTAACTAACAATACAGGGAAGAGCCTTAGTGCCATTGTTGTAACATTAAGGGGCTTTGTTAACAACTATTAGTGAAATAAAGTATCTGAAGTTGAAAAAAAGGGTTAATCTTATAAATAAATTAAAAGACAAATACACCTTTATCAATATTAGGAAATCAGTTTGGACGATTCCATATACCATTATGTTTTAGGGGGTTTTAGCTTCAGTGTCGAGTTGGTGTATAGTATTAAGGGTTGTCTGCGAGAAATAAATCATTTTTCTGATAGAGTAACTAAATTCAAAACCAATATAAATATAGTTTACATATATATTTTATCTAACTGAGTAAATTGATCGGAATGTGAATGACAACATAGACCTAAAATTCTTTTTAGTCTATCCCAGTCATGACATTTGCGCGGAAATTTCTTCCATTGACATCGTAATATAATTGACTTTGGATTATTGTTATCTTTAGATGTAATTTGATAGGATTTAATGTGATATTATTTGTCTCTTCTTCTATAGTACATAGTTTGACGTCAGGTTTGTACACATGAAGTCTCTAGTCTAGTCAGATCTGAAGTATAGATGTACTCATTCTCAATTTTATGTACTGCATATCCCATCCCATCCCTACATCCCCCTGCCCAGTCGCTCCGTAATTCTCGTATCACGGCTTTGAGACGAAAGCAGGCATTATCAGGAACGTCATAATGTCAGAGGAGATGTAATCAGTGACGTCACAATGTGTGAGGAAACGTTATCAAGCTTGCTTTCGTCTAGCGTAAAAACTGTCTTAGGCCACGTTAGGGAGGTGAAAAGCCAGTAATAGAAGGGTACCACGATTTCCCGAGGATTGCAATAACAAATTAATATCCCAAGGACAAATTGATTTGTCCCGAAAACATGATTTTACATGGTGTTATATACTGCTTAAATTAGTATAACAGCATACAACTATACAATCTAATTAAAATTAAATCTCCGCACTTACTCCTCGTTGTTTATATGTCGCGCGTGGGAGATCTAACAACAGCCGCTTGAGGGTCATGTCTAGGGTCAAATTTGGTGAACTTTGACCGACCAATCAGCGTGCAGAAAATCAATTTCGGGTAACCAATCAGCGACGGGCTTGTATACCATTATCGGATCGTTAAATAACATGGATGCGCCCAGTTTGGACAACGTTTTGACAAAAGTTTTGCCAAAATTTGGTATAAATGATATAAAGAAGGAGCAAAAGGACATTTTAGAGTGTTAAGTTAACAAGAAGAAGTGCGTGGCTGTACACCGACTGGTTTTGGCAAGTCACTGCCGTTTCAACTGTACCTTCCAGTTGTCCGGGAGGTTATTGAAAACAGTTCTGACTGAAAAGTTTTAGTCTGTTTTCCCTTAGTAGCTCTGATGCAGGACCAGGTGGAAAAACTCTCGCACATTGGAAATATTACTGCTGCATACAAAGGTTAGTATAACTTTAAGCATGCAGTGGTAGTAAGGCTTCAATAAATGGAATAGTCTATACTATAGTATTTAATGCCATTAAACACCTAATTTATATTATAATTATTATGTTGGCAGTGTTGTATAATAAAGATGTTTATAACACATGAGAAATCAGTTAGGGGGTGACATGTTATCCCCCTGTACAATGGCGGATCCAGAACTTTTTGTAAGGGGGGCCCACTGACTGACCTACGAGGGGGCCCGCTCCAGTCATGCTTCAGTGATTCCCTATATAATCAACTAAATTTTTCCCACAAAAGGGGGGCCTAGGCCCCCCTGGATCCGCCTATGCTGTTGGAGCTACTTATATAATTAATGCAATGCCTCTATCTTACAAAAATGTCTTAAGACGTTATTCCCACACCTTATGGTGTCTAGATGCAGGGCCCTCTTTTCCATAGTCCTGGATCCGCATCTGACCAGGCAAAGATGTACATGTATGTCTTATCAAATAAAATAAAATGTATTTGCAGGATCATACATTTAAACTTCAGTATATCAACACATACACATGACTAACAGTAACAAAGCAGTAATATGAAACTTAAATATACATGAGCAAAGTTAAAAAAAACTGCAGAAGCAGTTGATCATAGCCATGGTAGCACATAAATTTGTCTCATTTCACCGAGAACAGATTGTATTGGTCATATTGCCAGTATTTTACAGTCGTTTTGGCCATAATGCTAGTTCTTCATACTACATGTTGTATTAATGAAGCGCCAGAGTCCAAGGGAAATGTTGTTAATTACATGTACTAATAATCTATCTCAAAACAAATATACATGCATATAAGAATAAGAAGATGTCGTACATGTACAAGACTTGAAGTAAAATTGCCAACTCAACTCTCCACCAGACAACAAATGACAAAGTTTACAACTATAGGTCACCATCTGACCTTCAACAATGAGAAAAATCATACAGCATAATCAGCTTTACGTGGCTCAGAAACGTGCGGGAAACTTAATTTTTAAATTAGATTGTTTTTTGTCATGAATGTGTTAAACAATGAAAAAATAAAAAAAAAATATGAAAAAGTGCAGTCTAAAAGACCTTGTTGGATGGCCAAACAGATACATTGGCAGAAACATCTCAAAATCGAGAAAATATGCCATGCATTCATTGAAATCTCAGCTATATTCATTTCTGTATTGGACTTTACAACAATAAGAATTATTTCATTGGATTTCAATCTTTAATCAAACGCAGTGAAATGGAGAAAGGGTATTTGTACAGTGTACATTTAAATTATAGAAGTTATCATAGAAATATGTCTTTTTGGAGACTGCCCACCTACATTTTTTTTTGCATTTTAGGATCATCTTCCCCAGAGTGACGATCAAATCAAAGAGGGTTTGATAGATGTCATTTTTGCATCTCCAGAAACATTGGTTGGTGATCCCTATTGTTTAAAGAAGTTGAACATTAAGTTGGTTGTAATTGATGAGTTTCACACAATAGCAATTTGGTAAGTGGATACAATGTTTATTCCCCATGTTCATTTCTATTCGCACATTTACAGGACGTATTACCGTTGTCTACATGTATATAAATAAAGGCCCCGAAATGACAATGTAAAACAATTCAAACGAGAAAACAAAGGGCCTAATTTATGCATAAAAAATGAACGAAAAACAAATACAAATGTATGTAACACATAAACAAATGACAACTACTGAATTACAGGCTCCTGACTTGGGACAGGCACTATACAGAATGTGGCAGGGTTAAACATGTAAGTGGGATCCCAACCCTCCCCTAACCTGTGACTGTCTGTCAATCGTCAACCTGTCAGTAACTCAAAAACTATTCAACTAATTTGCATGAAACTTTGATGAATTGTTTCTATATATTGATGTGTACTCCCTTCCCATTTTTATGAATTTAGATTTTCAAAAAGATAGAAGTAAAAAATTAAGACCACTGGTACAGAACTGTACAGCTTTCAAGAACGAGATAACCTAATACTAAAAAGTAAGCTCTTTTAAGACCACTATTTGCAAAATGATGAACCATTACAATGTAATTATAAGAATGTATGAAAAATAAAACCCTAAACAAATGTGATAGACAGCAACCAACAACAACCACTGAATGATAGGCTGTTACATAACAATATGGACAAGCACATACATGTATTTAATTTTGTTTTGCCATAAGAATTAACAATCTAGGCAAGAGGTGCTGATATTTACCTTTTATAAAAGTTTTTATAGAAGTACTTATTTCTATTTTTCTTTCAGGGGCCAAGATGAAGGAGACAGAAAAAAAGGCTTTTCGAAAATGGTTTTCAAATGTAGGTGAACTAAGATCCCTCTTTTCCGATGCTACAGTATTGGCTTTAAGTGCAACTTGCACTGTAAGCTTTAGGAAAAAAGGTCATGAAAATATTGCAGCTAGCGGAGGACACAACAGAAATTAATTTATCACCAAACAAGTCTAATATTAAACTAGTATCTTCCAAAATTAAAAATTAAATTGAAATGGGAATGACATGGTTAGTAGATGCATTAGAGGAAAAAAGTCAGGACTTCCCACGTACACTTTTGTATTGTTAATCGATAAATGACACTTCCAAACTTTATAAATACATTGTAACAGAATTGCCACATTGTGCCAAGTATATTGAGATGTTCCATTCTGAAACTCCAGATGTTAACAAAAACATCATAATTAATGCATTGAAGGAGGAAAGTAGTGTTTTGAGACTTATTTTGTCAACCAGTGCCCTGGGAATGGGTTTAGATGTAAAAAAGTGTAGTGGAGTGGTATTATTTGGACCTCCAAATAATCTGGTAGATTTGCTGCAAGAAATAGGGCGAGTGGGGAGGGATGGAAATCCATCAGTTGCCATTATCCTATACAATGGATACCACTTGCAGAAGTTGAAACCGGAAGTTAAGGCAATTCTTAAAGCTAAAGATTGTAGGAGAAAGGATCTGATGTGTAATTTCCTCAGAAATTCAGACTTGGATGATTTGATGAAGAAAGAAAGCAGGAAACATTCATGCTGTGACTTGTGTACTAAGTCTTGTAATTGTGAATCCTGTGATATGTTACCTCTTGAGAAGTTATTTCTGTCAGAACAAGTTGTTGAGGAGCTCGAGGAGCAAGAAGATTCTGATGTTTCAGATAGCGATACTGAAGACTACAATTTGTCTGCCTATAAATACTTCGAAGATCTTGATATGGCTTTATTAGAAATACAAGATGATTAAAACAGTTGATATTTATTTATTTAATTTTTCAGTATCTGGTTTCTGTAACTAATTCAACTTTAGACTCTTCAAATTTTTTTGACTTTTAACCCCCTTACAATTGCTGTATTGATTGTGCCACTCTAGATCTGGGTTCATGTCATGCCTGCAGCTGTCAATGTGACTAAAAAGAGATGTAGCGTATAAAAACAAATGAGACAGTAACTGATTGACACACATCATAAGATATTTACTTGTTTTCATCTTAAAAATAAAGAGATGCGGTATGATTGCCAATCAGACAACTACCCTCCAGACTTTTCAATAACTTGATATAAGCAATTGTAGTACAACGAGAAAAACCCATGCCTTTAGTGGGCTACAAAAGGCCCCGACCATAAAAATATGAAAAAATTCAAAAGAGAAAACCATGTCTGCCATGTCTGTCATGTCTGTCAGATATGGTTGCAGATTCGCCTAATCTTGACCTCATTTCATGAAACAAGCATATATTCGGTGTCAAGTCTGCATCTCGATTACTATAAACATGATAAACAAACAGAAAAATATATTTGGTGTGGAATTATTGTAAGATGTCCATGTTATATAAAAAAGAAGATGTGGAATGATAGCCAATGAGCATGATTAGACAACTCTCCACAAGAGACCAAATGACACAGAAAGTAACAACTATAGGTCACTGTACGGCCTTCAACAATGAGCAAAGCCGATACCGCATAGTCAGCTATAAAAGGCCCTGAAATGACAAATGTAAAACAATTCAAACAAGAAAACTAACGGCCTAATTTATGTACAAATAAAATGCTTCGCTGGGGCGCAGCTTGATACGACCGCAGAGGTCGAACCCTGAACAGTTGGGGCAAGTATGGACACAACATTCAAGCTTGATACAGCTCTGAATTTGGATTGTTATTAAATATTTGACACAGCCTAGGTTTCTGACACAGAAAGAATGTGGTCTAAGAACTTGAATTTTTTTAATTTACCTATTATGGTCCAATGTCCAAAATCAAAATACATGGTTAGATTCAGCATATCAAAGAACCCCATATATTCAATTTTTGTTAAAATCAAACAAAGTTTAATTTTGGACCCTTTGGACCTTAATGTAGACCAATTTAAAAAACGGGACTTAAAATTAAAAATCTAAATACACGGTTAGATTTGGAATATCAAAAAACCCCAATAATTCAATTTTTGATGAAATCAAACAAAGTTTAATTTTGGACCCTTTTGACCTCAATATGAACCAATTTGATAGCGGGGCCCACAAATAAAAAATCTAAGTTCATGGTTAGATTCAGCATATCAAAGAACCCCATATATTCAATTTTTGTTGAAATCAAAAAAAATATAATTTTGGACCCCAACTTGGACCAACTTGAAAACTGGGCCCATAATCAAAAATCTAAACACATGTTTAGATTCAGCATATCAAAGAACCCCAAGAATTCAATTTTTGTTAAAATCAAACTAAGTTTAATTTTGGACCCTTTGGACCTCAATGAAGACCAATTTAAAAAACGGGACCCAAATTAAAAATCTAAAAACACGGTTAGATTTGGCATATCAAAGAACCCCAATAATTCAATTTTCGATGAAATCAAACAAAGTTTAATTTTGGACCCTTTTGACCTCAATATGAACCAATTTGATAGCGGGGCCTACAAATAAAAAATCTAAATACATGGTTAGATTCAGCATATCAAAGAACCTCATATATTCAATTTTTGTTGAAATCAAACAAAGTTTAATTTTGGACCCCAATTTGGACCAACTTGAAAACTGGGCCCATAATCAAAAATCTAAATACATGTTTAGATTCAACATATCAAAGAACCCCATATATTCAATTTTTGTTGAAATCAAACAAAGTTTAAATACTGGAACCTATCTTGGACCAACTTGAAAACTGGGCCCATAATCAAAAATCTAAACACATGTTTAGATTCAGCAAATCAAAGAACCCCAAGAATTCAATTTTTGTTAAAATCAAACTAAGTTTAATTTGGACCCTTTGGACCTCAATGTAGACCAATTTAAAAAACAGGACCCAAAATTAAAAACCTAAATACACGGTTAGATTTGGAATATCAAAGAACCCCAATAATTCAATTTTAGATGAAATCAAACAAAGTTTAATTTTGGACCCTTTTGACCTCAATATGAACCAATTAGATAACGGGGTCCACAAATAAAAAATCTAAATACATGGTTAGATTCAGCATATCAAAGAACCCCATATATTCAATTTTTGTTGAAATCAAACAAAGTTTAATTTTGGACCCCAATTTGGACCAACTTGAAAACTGGGCCAAAAATCAAAAATCTAAATACATGTTTAGATTCAGCATATCAAAGAACCTCATATATTCAATTTTTGCTAAAATCAAACAAAGTTTAATTTTGGATCCTTTGGACATTAATGTAGACCAATTTGAAAACTGGACCCAAAATTAAAAATCTAAATACACTGTTAGATTCGGCATAACAAATAAATAAATGTGATCAAAGATTTTACAAATCTAATGCGCCATACTGTGCAATTAAAGATTACTTCTTGAAATTTTTCAATATTTGAAATTTGAAAAAAAAATAATATTTGAAGAATAATTCTTTTTAATTTCTGAAATCTGAAATGAGAAAAAATTGGCCCCCCACAATTTCTTTTTACCCCCCCCCCCCCCTTTTTCCCCCAAAAAAATTCTTTCCCTCAAGATATGGTCATAATCTCAATTCAAATTTCCAATGGAGTTGGCAACCATAATTACCCATTTAAATTTACCATAGTGCTAACTTAATCTATTTTATAATAGAATTAATAAAAATATAGTGTCAAATCTTTCATATGGATTTTTTTGTAAAAAAAAAAGATGAAAACATTTGCAGATATTTTTACTGGTCTTCCTTTATAAATATGCATTTCTTTAAACATAATTTAAAAGCAGTGTAAGGGAAGTAACCAAAACGTTGTATTTGGATTACCTCCCTTACACTGTTTTAGATTATCTTTATTGTTCATTAACCATTACTTTATACATAATTTAAAAGCAGTGTAAGGGAGATAATTTCAATGATGTATTTGATTTATCTCCCTTACACTGCTTTAAATTATGTTTTGTACTAAAGTATTTGTCCATTAACCAGGACAACCTTGTTTTTCCCCCTTTTTTGCCCCTAATTCCTAAACGGTTTGAGCCATAACCCCCCAAAGCAAATCCTAACCATCCCTTTGTGGTATGGAAACTTGTAGTATAATTTCAGAGAGATCCATACACCGTTCCACAGTTATTGTCTGGAAACTAGAAAATGCTCATTTTTGGCCCCTTTTTGGCCCCTAATTCCTTAACTGTTGGTACCATAACCCCCAAAATCAATCCCAACCTTCCTTTTGTGGTATTTAACCTTATGGTCAAATTTCAAAAAGATCCATTCACTTAAACTAAAGTTAGAGTGCGAAAACCAATATGTATTCGGACGACGACGCCGGACGACGACGACGACGACGACGACGATGACGACGACGACGACGCCAACGTCATACCAATATACGACCACAAAATTTTTTTGCGGTCGTATAAAAATGGACGAAAAACAAATATGTAACACATAAACAAACGACATCCACTGAATTACCTAAGGCTCCTGATTTAGGACAGGCACATACATACAGAATGTGGCGGGGTTAAACATGTTAGCAGGATCCTAACCTTGGACAGTGGTTTAACAGTACAACACAGGAACAAACTATAAAAATCACTCTGGTTGGTTTCTGACCTTGACTTTTCATGGTTTATTGATCAACAAGTAAACTATCTTTGGTGTATAGAATTATTGCTATTGATGTATGTCCTTTTGTGCTAAGTTTTGGCATGGTTCATATGTATGACTTTGACCTTTTTGTTCATTGTTCTTGATGATGTTATATTTGTTCTATATAGCAAACTCATTGTATTTAACTTGGTGTAGCCAACAGTATACATAGAGGATGATTATTTTTGCTCAAAATAAACATTGACAGGTTGATTGATTATTGATTTCTTCACTTGGGTTTCAGTGGCAAATATTTCATGCATATTCAAGACAATAACATGAAGTGGGACTATATCTTACTTACAACTTTGATCAAGACCAATGTGTTCATCAAGAAAACAGTCAAATATAGACTTAATACCACATCTTCTTTTTTATATGACCACAAAATAATTTTGCGGTCGTATATTGGTATGACGTTGGCGTCGTCGTCCGAAGACACATTGGTTTTCACACTCTTACTTTAGTTTAAGTAAATGGATCTCCATGAAATTTTACCATAAGGTTCAATACCACAAAAGTAAGGTGGGGATTGATTTTGGGGGTTATGGTACCAACAGTTCAGGAATTAGGGGCCAAAAATAAGCATTTTTGTAACTTCCAGACATTACTTGTGTGTTAGTGTATGGATCTCTCTGACATTGTACCACAAGGTTCCATATCACAAAGGGAAGGCTGGGATTGATTTTGGGGGTAATTGCCTCAAAATTTTAGTAATTAAGGGTCAAAAAGGGGCAAAAAACAAGTATTTTTCTAGTTTCATGACAATAACTTGTGTGTAAGTGTATGGATCTTTCTGAAATTGTACTACAAGGTTCCATATCACAAAGGGAAAGCAAGGTTTGAGTTTGGGGATAATTTCCCTAAATGTTTAGGAATTTTGAACAAAAAAGGGGCCAAAAAACAAGCATTTTTGTAGTTTCCAGTCAATAACTTGTGTTTGAATAGGTAAATTAAAAATTTATAAGTTCTTAGACCACATTTATTCTGTGTCAGAAACCTATGCTGTGTCAAATATTTAATCACAATCCTAATTCAGTGCTGTATCAAGCTTGACTGTTGTGTCCATACTTGCCCCAACTGTTCAGGGTTCGACCTCTGCAGTCGTATCAAGCTGGGCCCAGCAGAGCATTTTATTTTATTAAGTTACTGTGTTTAATTTGACTAAGATAGAAATTGAACCAAATAATGTGCACTAATAACTTC